TGCAGGGGGGCAGTAAGAGGTTACCAGGCTGGCAGAGGGCAGTAAGGGGTGACCATGCTGGTGGGTGAGGGGACAGTTAGGGGCAACCAGGCTGGCCAGGATGGGCAGTTGGGGGCGAACAGTTTGTCAGGTGGGGCCAGTTGGGCCCCCAGGCCTGCAGGCAGAGGCAGATAGGGTTGATCAGGCTGGCAGGGGAGCCAATAGGGGCGATCAGGCAGGCAGGCAGGCAGGCAGGCAGGCAGGTGAGCAGTTAGGAGCCAGCGGTCCCGGATTGTGAGAGGGATCCTGGTTTGGAGAGGGTGCAGGCTGGGCTGAGGGGACCCCACCCCCATGCATGAATTTCATGCACTGGGCCTCTAGTGTATGTATAAAAAGAAAACACTGCAGGACAGTATTGCTTATAAGCACTTGCCAGTCAGGTACATCAGCTCAGTTTTAACAGAAAAGGAACAAGTTCATTACTTTGGAATCACATCTAAAGGTGCATTGGCAGACTGAAAAGTAAAGAAAATTTTGAAATCATGAATGAGTAACAGGCCCATATGAAAACATGGATGAAGGTTCTGGAAAACCTTCATACCATTTGGTACGCTTCATTAGAGTTGCATCCCATCTCCAGTTGACATTCGAAGCAGAGTAACAAAATGTGTGGTTAAAGAACAAAAAAAAAGCAGTCTTCGGCAGCCTGCAACTAAATCTCAGTCCTCTCTAATTTTCCATGAACAAGCCACACAATCAAGATCTTCTATGCAAAGCAACACGATAGAGAAAAATTGACCTAATTACCTTTCTACCTAAATTGGGTCTTCATGTACCACGTCTTTCAATGCTAACAAGTCACATTGTTTCACTTTGTCAATTTGTAAGGAATTAAAATACTTAAATAAATATCATCACTAAGACCCTGTCTTAGAGACAATTAAAAGGACACATTGAGCCCAGCTGGTGTGGCTCAGTGGTTGAGTGTTGACCTATGAACCAGGAGGTCATGGTTTGATTCCTGGTTAGGGCACATGCCCTGATTATAGGCTGCATTCACAGGAGGGGAGTGCAGGAGGAAGCCGATCAATGTTTCTCTCTCATCAATGTTTATATCTCTCCATCCCTCTCCCTTCCTCTCTCTACAATCAATAAAAATATTTTAAAAAAAATGAAACATTGAACTACTTTAGCATATTAACACTCTATCAGCTTTTATCTTAAGAAATCCTGGAGGACAGGGATGCCCACTCTCACCACTCCTGTTCGACATAGTACTGGAAGTATTAGCCATTGCAATTAGACAAGAAGAAGAAATAAAAGGCATCCAAATTGGAAAATAAGAAGTAAAACTGTCGTTATTCGCAGATGACATGATATTGTACATAAAAAACCCTAAAGACTCCATCAAAAAACTATTAGACTTGATAAATGAATTTGGCAATGTAGCAAGATATAAAAATAGTGCCAAGAAATCTATGGCATTTCTATACACCAATAGTGAACTTACAGCAAGAGAGACTA